ACCACAGACAGACAGGAAGATGGAGGCCTGTTTAACCACAGACAGACGGACAGACTCTAAATCCGTCTGTCTGTTACCCCACAGACAGACAGACAGACTGATGGAGGCCTGTTTAACCATACTGGTTAACTGAATCCTGCACATTGTTTCGGGGCAATAATGGGACGTTCTCCTTATCATCTGGGCAAAAGAGTGTGTTCCCTGCCTGAATGGTCTTCAAAGCAGCCTCCAACAGCTCCTTTGGTTTCGCCCCCACTTCTAAAACATTCTGCAAAATTTGAATGTCTTTCTTTGTGTCACCTTGGGAATGCTTAAATTCTTATATCATAAATCATTTACACAAAATAAAGTAACCCCGAAAGCAGTGTGTTTCATTTACATCAAGTTTGTCTGACAAACAGACAGACAGACAGACAGATGGAGGCCTGTTTAACGCGTTGGCGTTTGCTTACGCTGCAGGATCTGCTGCACGCGCTGCACTGGGGTTGCGAGCCGTCTGGCGCCGCGTCCGGCTGGCTGGACGCCATCATCCTGTAGTGGAAGGAGGACAGGCAGGTCTGGCTGCAGAAGTCCTTCTGGGTCCCCTCATCATCCACTGGGGCCTGCAGGCCGGCTGGAGGCTGCCCCAGCACCCTGAGAGACAAACAACCACCAGGGACAACAACAAATGGAGTCAAATACCCCAAAAAAGGTGATTTTTTACTGGCAGGTGGAGCATTAAATCCTTTAAGCTCAGTAAAAATATTTCATCCATTTTCATTGTGGAGTTTGAAATGCATTTAACAAAGAAACACAGAACATGTGCACACAAACATCTGGATTCAAATCCGCAAAAAAGAGGTTTTGATGCCGTTTTTTCACTGGCAGGTAGAGCATTAAATCCTTTATAATCTGTAAATATATTGGATTTCTTTTCATTGTGCAGAGAGACAGCAGAACAAGCCTCCAATTGCCATTTAACAAAGAAACAGAGAACAAACATGGAAGCTGACGTTTGGTTCTCCTGCAGAACAACCGACTCACTGCAGGCAGAAGTGACAGGTCCTCCTCACGGACTTCCTCTGGTGGAACGTCAGCAGGCAGGAGGTGGAGCAGAAGATGTCTGCGTGGCCTCTCCGCTGGTAGACCGACTTCCCGTCCAGCAGAGGCTGCTGGCAGGCCGAGCAGCGGGCAGGCAGGTCGCTCTGGGGGGGGGCGGCCGCCACAGGCTTGATGTCCTCAGTCAGAGAGAAGACGGAGCCGATTCTCAAGTCCTCCTGAAGGGACGAGAGCAGTTTCTGATTCTGGTCTGCTGTTGTTTTTTCAGAGAACGTGTCAAATAAGTTCCAGATTTTTACTGATGTTGGGTTTTGTTTGTTAGACTTTATCAATATGTTGTTATTTGTTTTGTTTTTGGGGGTCAAACTACTAAAGCAAAGTTTACACCAGGTCATGGACAGGAACCGAAAAAACAGGAACCGAAAGGCAGGAACCAAATAACAGGAACCGAAAGGCAGGAACCAAAAGGCAGGCACAAAAAGACCAAAATCTTGTGATTGGGAGTCCTGGGTCTCCCGGTCATGGAGCTTCTCGAACCACTGACTCTTCCACATGTCACATTTAAACGAAAAAGCCCTTCTACAGATGTTGTGTGTTTGACCTTTGACCCGCTGGGCTCCTCCTTAGGCCGCTGAGGAGGCTCAGCGACGCCCTCGGCGACGCCCTCGGCAACGCCCTCGGCAACAGGCTTGGCGTACTCCTCATCCGCCGGCTCCTCTTTTATCTTCGGCTGGGGACAGAAACGGAACAAAACACGACCCCTTAGCTTCTTACTTAGCTTTGAATCATTGTTGTTGACCTAACATGGCTCTGTTGGTGATGAGGTTTGTAAGGGTGTAATACTCACAAATACCAAAGGCAGCAGAGGTTTCTCCTCCTTTTTGTCTGGAGAAGCGCTCTCCCTCTCTGCGAAAAAGGGCAAAACGGCCATGAAACACAGACTTTTATCGCCTTTTCTGCCGTCTTAGACAGTTTACAGCCACCTAATCTGGACGATTCTGGACAAACAAAGAGAGCGCGTGGCAGCACCTGAGTCGGCGAGCGCCTGGGCGCGGCGCACCATGGAGCACCGGTGGCTGCAGAAGAAGTCCAGCTCTGCTCGGTGGTTCCTGTCCTCCACCATGTCGGACAGCTGGTGGGGGGTGCAGCACGTCGAGCAGAGCTGAGGCGCCTCCTCCCTCTGAAAGCCAAGCAGAGACAGGGGGAGACGTTAGAGCGTCACCAGGAGGTCGCTCCAGCTTCGGGTGGATGTTGGGGAACAAATCAGGTTGACTAAAAGGGGGGAAGGTGCTTTTCTGCTGCAAAAATAATAAAAAACAATGAAAAAATACAACGAAAAGCTCAAAGAAACTCCAGGATGTTCGGTAAAAAAAAAAAAAAAAGGAGGCTTCTTATAGTAAAGAATCTGCTCTGAAGCTGCTCAGATTCCTGTTATATTGTGTTCAATATATTTTTTAAAAACAATGTAGTGGAGTATTAACAATTACAGGCACGCTCAGTTATTCTGAGTTCATTTAAGACTTTTCCCTGGGGGGGGGGGGGTAAAAACATGGTAAACTCCTCAACTGAAAGGCTTTCTGCAAAAGGCAGGAACCAGAAGGCAGTAACAACCAAAAGGCAGGAACCATTAACCCTTACAGACACATCCTCAGGTATTCTGGGCCCATTTAGAGCTTTTCACTGGGGGGAATAAAAACATGGTAAATTCCCAGCTGGGGGTCTGTTAGCATCTCTCCCTAAGAGGGCAGATTCAGCTCATTTCTTGGGGTTGATCTAGTGTCAGAAAGGCGGATGGACGCTGGCTGGATTCAGCCCGAGCACCTCTTTGAGCCTGAGCAGGCACCGGTCCCCGCAGACCGTCTTGCGGCCGGCCTCCAGGTTGAGCGCCAGCCGCTTGTTGGGGCAGACGGCGCCGCACACGTCGCAGGTTGGGAAGCCGTGAGCCTCCTGGTAGCTGCTCAGACAGGCTCTGCTGCACAGTCGGTGGCTCTCGCCCTCCACGGCCACCCTGAAGTTGCACTAAAAGGGAGAGAGAGGAACATGCTGACCACCAAAGTGAACTTGTTTCCACAGAAAGCGGCATTTTTCTGCATGGAAACCAAGAGAAAATGTTTCCCCGGAGGCAGGAAAACATGCTGCGGCTCCACTTTTTCTGCGTTTAAAGAAAACAAAAATAACAGACAAATAGATAACGGAATTATTCATTTATATTATAAATGTATCTTAAAAAAAAAGTTTATATATATACAGTATATACACATTAAAAAAAAAAATCTTTCTAAATAATAGAAATACCCAACAATGAAGTCTACAGAATGGCCCTTCATTCAATTTAAACTCTTTGATTTTAATAACATTAAATCCAAGGATCTCTTCTAAATCACCGATATGAAACCCAATTAAAAAGGACACAAAATAGGACTAAAAACTTTCACAGGAATTTTGTTTCTTTTCCAGAAGCAAAAGTCACTGATAGCCCCTGAGGGTCAAAGTTATTTATAAACTTTAAAAAATCAATTGTCATGCAGAGAAAACTCCCTTTTGGGTGTTTCGCTGGTTTAAAAGGGTCGCTTTAACTGGAAATACGAACTCTTTGAATTGAATATATTTTTTTCTTGGTTTATGCTTTCATAAAGCTTTCGCTCCAGAACCTGCTGGTTCAACATGTTTTAACTTCCCTGTTCACCTGGTGACTCGTCACTCATGATTTCTGGCTCTCTTTGGTTAAAATTTTCCCAAATCTGCAACACTTTTATATCTAAGCTCCATATTCTGGTGTATTCTCATAGAATATGTGAACGGAAATACAGCAAATATACATCTTTTATCCACTCTTTCCCCTTCTGTCCTCCCACAAAAAGCCAGGCTTGGGGTTTTTCCTCACAAGTCTGCGCTTGTTGCACATCTTGCACACGTGGCGCAGCTGCCTCTCGGCGGCTATTTTCCTCTTGGACTCCACAGACGAGAGGCAGGCGTTGCTGCACAGCTTCCTCATGGTTCCCGACCCGTCCGGAGCCAGGATGATGTTCTGAGGCCGCGATATCAGCCTGAGGAGGCGAAAAAGACGAGAAATGAGATCCTTGACCAGCTGAGAGCTTATTTATTTATTTCATTATCTTATTTATTAATTTATTTATCGCATTACCTTATTTATTTTATTATGTACTGTATTTATTTATTGCATATTATCTTATTCATTCTATTTGTATAATTTATTTCATTTTTCTGCCTTTATATTTCTTTTGTCTACTCAATCTTTTACAGTGATTTTATTGTTTTATTTTGTTTAATTCTTTATGCACAGTTCTTTGTAAACCTCATGTTTGTTAAAATTGCTCCATAAAGATCAACTGGATTGGATTACGAATTTGAAATCCTAAAACCTTTGAGGCCATTTTATTAAATGGTAGCAGCACCACAGCAAACAAAGAAAATACAATGAAAATGTCTCCAATACCAAGATTTTTCTACCACAAAATACCACATCTACACATAAACTCCAGCCTGAGAAGAAGAGACGATGCTGGACTCACTGGAAGCAGTTGTAGCATTTCTTGATGCGAGGGTTTCTCTCTGAGAAACAAGAGGCAGAGCAGAAAACCTCCCTGGAGCTCCTGGGCTGGTAGGCCGAGCTTCCCTCCAGCAGGACTTTGGCACATTGGCAACACTGAACGTCCGAGTTTGAAACGAAGAGCCGGGGCGCGTCGTCTGGGCCCACTTCTCCTCCATCCTGCAAAAAAAAAAGAGGCCAAATCTGAACTCTGACCAATGAAACCTCCTCATGGAGATCCAACTGCTCCGAAATCTAACGCAGAACACCAGAATGGAGCTCAGGACTTTTCAACAGATGTACTCACAGTTTCTGATTCCTGCTCTGACTGGACACTCTTGTCCACCAGTTCAGGAGTTGGGAGTGTGTTTTCTGAGGCAATAAATAAGAAAAAAAACAGGATTAGCTTGATTATATCCATAAAAACGCAGCGCGAATGAACTTTGTTGACTTTTAAATGCTTCTCTTTTCCTCACAGGTTGAAATTTGAAAGCTTAAAATTGCTTTGAAACTCACAAAAAAGACCAGATTTATGACTTTACATTGTTTCCACCTTAAAACATCAATAGATTATTCTGTTTTACCTTAAAAAACAAAACAAAACATGGATTCATTCGTAAATAATTTTGCTCACAACAACAAAGACACTGACGAGCAGGTCGAATAAAAAGGCTCCACAGTTTCTATTCTCTGGAAATAATGACAAAAAAAATCAAATAAAATGTCTATGAAAACAAAACTATTAACCATTTTCAAGATTTCAACCATTTTGGAAGGAAACAAATGATGAAATTTGAAAAAATGTTTCTCCGACACCTTGAGGGTCGTCCATGATTTTGGGAATCAGCTTGTAGGACAACACGCAGTATCGATTACAGAAGAGCTGCACGATGTCCAGGCAGTTTGTGAAGGTGACCATGGAGGACACTGGCTGAGCAGAGTGGCACTGGGTGCATGGATGAGGCCTGTCCATCCTCTGCAGGGCAGAAAAGGAAAGCAAAGAGCCAGCGTCTGTTAATTTCCTGTCATTCCTGAGCAGAAAAGAGTTTTAGTGGTTGAATGTTCAACTTGATGCATTTCTGACTCCTCTGAGAAGCCAAGTGAGGAGAACTGGGTTTGAAATCCTGATTATCTAAACTAACAGAAATAATCTACAAAAAGACATAAAACAAACATAATAAGAGGTAAAGCAACCATGAAGAGAGGCTGAATTACTCCAAAACAACCAGAGGAAGAAAAGAAGTGGGCTTTAACTAAGAAATAACTTAGATTTATAAAATTAATAAAGATGTTTTCTCGTTTTGTGTTCAGTAGAAAGCGTCCAGAACAAGTTAGAATATATGAGTTAAACTTATTGGATGGAAACAGGAAAAAATAATCAGGTTTGTTCAGTTTAAGCTGATTTCTGACAACAAACTACAAGAAAAAAACGAGAAAATAAATGTAAAAAACATATCAAATCATTATATTTCGACATTTTTTCAGGAAAAATAACTAAAATAACACTTAAAGAAATTCAGAATTCTCATTAAATTAGCCCAAAAGGGCAAAAATAAAGCAGAAACAACCAGATTTTGTTGAACAAAGTCTGAGAAAAACAACCAGAGGAAGAATGGAAGCTGTTATCAAGAGCAGAGAGATGAAGTTCGAGCTGAATCTGAGGGGAAAATTAGCCTTTAGCTGCTTCTCTTGCAGCTTTAACTCAGAAATAACCTCAACCCTCTCCCTGTGTGTGGGTGTGGTCTTTGTCTGGGCCATTTCCTGACCTCTCTGAACTCCTCCAGACACGGCGCGCTGCAGATGGTCCTGAAGCCGTCGTCCAGCTTCAGCCTGAGGGGCTTGGAGCCGCAGGCCGAGCTGCAGCTCTCACAAACGGGCCCCTGGTCCCTGCACTCAGGGGCCCTCACGGTCCGGCTGGAGGGGGAGGAGTCCGACTTAAAGGAGCACAAGCAGGCCAGGCTGCAGAAGTCCTTCATGGTTCCTTTCAGGTCCACCACGGCCATGATGAGGTCCAGAGGCCGTGAGATCGCCCTGAAAGAGGCAGAAGGACAGACCAGGATGGCTTTGAATCCAGCAGCTCCAAACACAACACGACCTCCGTGTATTTAGAATAGAAAAGAATAGAGTAGAATACTTTATGGATCCCACAGTGGAGAAATGTACACATCACAGCAGAAAAAAGGGAAAAAAGGGAAAATGACCAGCACAGTGGAGGCATAAATAAACAAACAAACAAATAAATAAATGTTATTTATAATACAACAATATTATAATAATATTATAGTAAAAAAATAATAATAAAATAACAATTTTATTATTAGAAATAATCATATTTTATTATATTAGTAATAAAATTAAAACAAAATTATAATAATAAAATACAATAATTATAGTAACACAGTTAGACCAAAGCATGTTTGAGACACAACAAGATCTAGATTTCTTTGACCAGTTTAGCTCTGCAGTTCCTCTAAGACCATTTCTTTGTTTTCCAGCCCTACAGAAGAGGAACTCTGGACTTATTTCTGAGCTGGTCTTTGACGAGGAGTACAGTGTGAATATTTTTTTTTAAATTACCAGTTTCAGTTCAAAATCTGGCCCATGATAAAAAGTAACCCAAACCATTGTTGGCTTACTTCAGGCAGAAGTAGCAGGTCCTCGCGTCGGCTTTACTGGGAGGAAACATCTGGAACAGGCAGTTTTTGGAGCAGAAGACGTCTGCAAAGCCCTTCTTCTGGTAGGCAGTGTGTCCCTTCATCATGCTCTTTTTGCAGTGCGAGCAGTTCATGTGCACCTCCTGAGGACAGAGAGGTCAAACGAGTCCAAATCTACAACTTTCCTCAGTCTAGTCTACTGAGACTCTACCTACGATCGCCTAAACATACGAATTTTCCAGCATCCAAAGTAAAATTTGATCAAATATTTGACTCAACACCCAAAGTAAAGTCTAAGTCATAGAAAAAAATCTAACATATATAAAAATTAAATAAAAATAAATAAGCTAAGTTAGTTTAAGGTTCAGGTAGTGAAAGTTAGAGTAAGTTAGGGTACGTCCTGTATCTCAGTCTCCACCTGCCAATAAAACTTCCTTTTGATTGATTATTTCTTTATGAGTTATTTCTTTTCACATCTCTCTTATATAATGCATTTGTTTTATTGCTATGTGTAATTATCTGCAGTATTTATTAAGGAGTTATTGTAGGTTTTTGGGCAGTGGAACAAATTATAGGAATTACAGTGTATATTTGAACCAACATACGAATATTTTAACATATGAATTAAATTTGTATGTAGAGGTTCTGCTGTATATGTAAGTTTTTTATTCATTTTTCATAAATTTCTGGTCTCAAACCCCTTGAAGACTAAATCTGAAATGGTTTTCTCCTTCATTCTGCCCACCTTTGCACAGCTTGGTTTGTTTGGCGGCGCCGGTGCCGCTTCTTGCTGCTCGCCGCCGCCTTCAAGCAGCTGCTCGCCACTCGGAGACGGCGGCCGGGAAATGTGAACACACGCCTGTATTTTCTCCTTAATTCAAACAACGACAGATGAGCCGGACCATCCAAACTTTTGATGCAATTTCAGGCTGGAAAAAGGAGGAAAACACTCACGATGTCCAGTTTGGGGATCATTATCCTCACTTCTTTCATCTTCTGCAAAGCTGCCGATAAGCTGGTCTTTTCTGCAATCAAACAGAGCTCAGTTTTTTTGTGTAAAGCCAAAATTCTGTCCCAAAATAAACTGACCGACATTAAAGACTCAGGTGAAATTCACAGGAATACCCTGTGATGAATTTTCTCAGTTTTAGGATTCATTTTGAGGATTTACAGCTCAAGCATTCATTAAGCCACACTGTTCACATACTATAATACTAATAAAAAACAGAGATAAAAGGATCTGAATACTGATCTTTCTCTGATGGGACTCTAAAGAGGAAGTTATGTCAAATTTTAAGCGTCCAAAAAAGACGTGAGGAAGGAAATATAGATAGAAAATTGACTCAAAATAGCTGCACACCATGAACATTTCCACATATTTTCACCACCAGCCTAACAGATGTGACCACTTCCTGTTCAAAGAGGCTCTTCAAACACATGCACACTCATCGCCTGACATGCGTGGGGCAGTTTTATAGGTCAAGTCGGATTTTAAAGACTTTTCTCAGCCTCAAACTCCTCAAAAATTAGTTTTACTGAACAATGGGGTCAGTTTTGGGTCTCAGAGTTCACTGTCCAGAGGAGAAGCCTCTGCGTTGATCGAGCTGTCCTGCAGCACCTGAATGCACCACAATTAATGAAACTCTGAGGGTTTGGATGCTGGGAAGAGTCCCGGAACCCCTAGTCTGTGCACGCCAGGCCAAACCTGAGCATGAGAACAGAGGAGTCTCAGGTATGAACAAAATCTGAACTACCTGGTGAGATAGGCATGCTCTGAGGGAGGGGGGGGGCGCCATCCTCCACATCCATGCTGTCGTCTTCTGCCTCCCCCCCATCGTCTCCATTCGAGTCTCCCCGCTCTGAACACTCCTCGTTTGGAGGCGTGGCTTCCTTCTGGCTGTCATGGCCGTCGCTGGCGTCCTTCCCTCCGTTGCCCCCCCCCATCTCTGCCTCATTTCTGCCACCATCATCATCCTCATCATCATCAGCGTCCATGTTAAGGTCAACATTCAAACCGTCCTCATCATCATCACTGAAGCCCATTTGGGATTCTTGGTATTCGTCTCCGGGCGCCTCGGCTGGACTCTTAGCCGGCTGGTCGTCTTTTTCCGGCTCGCCGACAGCGATCTGCTCGCCGCTCAGCTTGTCCTCGCCGTCAGGCCCCGTGCTGCTGCTCCCCGCAGACCCTTTGCTTTTCCTTTCAGCATCTGACCTGGATCCCTTTGAGGCACCTGGAACAAACACGGGACACCCGGTTTGTTTAAAAAATCTATCAGAGACAATGTTTTTTTTTTTATAATTGTATAAGTGTAGAATTAAATTTGAGAAGAAAAGTTATTTAATTTAATTTATGTTTTTATTCTTAATTCTTTTTCTTATTTGGAAAAAAACTTCCATTGATTGGTGAGTGTGTTACAGTGTGTGTCAGACTGAGTGTGTTATTGTTACACACCGCTGGCCCGGTTGGGTCCACCGGCAGCTTTGCTGTTCGGCTCCATCGCTGGACGCAGCAGTTCTGCAATTAAATCAAAGAAAAGAAAACATAAAGTTACTGTTTGACTCCAGATCATCTCTGATGGACGCAAAACAACAGTTAGACTTTTAGCTTCATCATTCTTCATTTGGAAGTGTTTTCTCAATACTTTTAAAAATCTGATTGTAAAAAGTTCTTTGGTATTTTTAATTACAATTTTTATCAGCTATTGTTTTTTACATTTGCATAAATGTTGGATTTTTGCTGTTCTGTACAGGACAAAAATGCACTAAGGACTATTAAGAAAGAAAGTTAGTCAATAAATTAATACATAATAAATATAAGGAAATAATAATAATCATAGTTATTATTATTATTTATCGGTTCACAGAACCAAATTATAACAATTCATCTCCAGGATCTCCTGTCAAATCAAACCTATCTATCCAGGACTTTCCTTCATAAAGTCCTAATATGAGGAGCTCTGGGTCTTTTGGGACTTCTGAGCTCGTCCTCAGGCAAAACTTGGGGTTTGGTCACATACCTGAAAAGCTGATTTCCTCCAGGGGCTTCCCCTCGAACCTGCCCATGTGTCCGGTCTCCAGAGCCAGCAGCAGCTCCAGGACTCTGGCGATGTGGGCGGCGGCCTCCGGCGTCCGGTAGAACGGCGGTTCGGTGGGGATGTCGCATCCTAATGCTCCGGCCAGCTGGCGCAGCCCGTCGCCGCCCAGCAGCAGCAGCTGGAAGATCCTCCTCCTCTGCAGGCGGAAGCTCGGGGACGCCAGCGCGTCCGGACGCTTGGCGCCGCACAGAGAGATGAGGGAGCGGATGAGGCAGCCGGGCCTCCAGGCGCTGGACTGGGAGCCCAGGGGCCGGGTGAAGACGTGCGGGCTGCTCCCGGGAACGCCGCACGCCGCTCGCTTCTCCGCCAGCAGCTGCACGGCGCCAAGCAGGCAGGAGGGCAGGTAGACGGTCCCGTTAGAGCCTGTCAGGAAAGAGAGGAGAGGAAGAGTAGTGAGAAAAACAGATAGAAAGAAAGAAAAAAAGAAAGAAGTTAGAAAGAAGTGAGAGAAAATAATAAAGAAAGACAGAAAATAAGAAAACAAGAAAGAGAGAAAGAAATTATAAAGGAAGAAAGAAAAAAGAAAGAAAGGAAGAAAGAAAACAAAGAAATAAAGATGTGACAAAGAAAGAAAGATAGATAGAAGGAAGTGAGAAAGAAAGAAAGAAAGAAAGAAAGAAAGAAAGAAAGAAAGAAAGAAAGA